TTAAAAACCCCAGAGATTTTGCCCAGACTCTGACTTCAAATCTTGCCCAATGCAGACCTGTTCACTCAGTGAACTTTTGTTTAGTCTCAGAATAAAAGCTCATCTTTAGTTAGTGCATGTTTCAACGGAAAGGATCCAGGCACAGAAAATATCATGCATGCACTCATTGAATTCATGAGGAACAGATGTCATTTGCAATCAGAAACAAGGGGAGGCACTTTTGAATTTTGAATTATATAAGCATATGAGAACAAAGAACAATCAAAAGATAAAAAAGGAAGTATTTTTGCTGTGTTAGTCCAAATTGTATATTATCATAGTCATTCAAAATCCTGCTAGGAAAGATTAATAATCAGCAATCGCTGGCAACAGGCCTTTGCTTGCAAGACCCCAAGCAAGATTAGAGTGCTCCTGTGCTGGGCTATTTGAAAAGGTCAGGTGAGAACCAGTTCCACAGAAATCTGTGATTCCAATGCACATAATGGAATGATTGTTCACACTAGGGATTGTTTACAGGTTGTTACAGATTGTTGTATCCTGACTTGCCCACTGTATCATTTTCTGCTCTTCTGAGGGTGACATCTCAGGCAATATCTCACATCCAGTTGCTCCGTTCAAGGCAGAAATGGTCCTTCCATGCTCAAGTTGTCCCATGCAGAGGGACACTGGAGCTGCATGAGGACTCTGTAGGGCCACAAAGCTGATAAAGGGACTGGAGCATCTTTCCTATGGAGAAAGGCTGAGAAAAGTTGGGCTGTTCAGCCTGGAGATGAGAAGGTTGTGTGGAGACCTCACTGCACCTTCCAGTGTCTGAAGGGGCTACAGGCAAGCCAGAGAGGAACTCTGCATCAGGAACTGGAATGATGGGACAAGGGGGAACTGCTTCACACAGAGAGTGGGTTTAAAATAGATATTGGGAAGAAATTCCTGCCTGTGAGGGTAGTGGGCCCCTGGCACAGGGTGCCCAGAGAAGCTGTGGCTGCCCCTGGATCCCCGGAAGCATCCAAGGCCAGGCTGGACAGGGTTTGGAGCACCCTGGGACAGTGGAAGGGGTCCCTGCCCATGTGTGGTGTTCCACTGTGAGGAACTGCAAAGATTTCTTTTAAAAATAGATGGTCAGGAACGAAATTAAGTCAAATGAGACAAACATCATATCTGAGAACCATTTATCAGTAATGAAAAACCATAAAAAACCCAATAAATAAAAAGAAGTTACCTTACAAAAGAGGGCTAGAGGAGAGAGGGGAGACAAGAGGAGACAAAGAGGCTGTTAGCAGCAGAGGTCAGGGAGTGCAGTCCATGTCCCTGAGGTGGGGCTGTGCACGCCGCCGGCCTGGGGACAGCACCTGTGGCAGCCAGACACGAGTGGGGATTGGGCAGGAGGACCAGGAGCCTGGACAGGGTCAGGGTGAGGATCCCAGTGGTGGGGCAGGGCTGGACACAGGTGGCTCAGGCAGGGATGCAGAGATGAAGCAGGCAGAGCACTGGTCAGGGACACAGGCAGGCAGGACAGACACGAGGGTGAGCAAAAGCCAGCGAGGGCAGGAGAGCCAAAAGGTAAGCTGGGACCAGGGCAAAAAGCATAAGACTCAAAAATCGCCGGCTCAAAAGCAAGTTTTGAAAAGCCAGTCTCAAAAAGCAAGTTGTGGAAATCCCCCAAAGAGACAAAAGCATAGGTTCCAAGAGCACCCAAAAGGCAAAAATGACCAAAACATCCCCAGGCTTGTGACACAGCCACTTTTCGAGCCCCTGGGCTATAATTTCTAATGTCCCCTGCCTCTCTGTCACCACTGTCCGTCCAGCAGCAGCCAGGGAGACAGGGGAGATAGTTTAGCTTGTCAAAGAAGAACCTAAAAACAAGGCTCTTTCCCTTTGCTGAGATGGCAGTCACAGCTTTATTTCTTGGGGTCCTACAGAGTGAGGTAGCAGGAGGGAAAGAGGAAGAGGTATCAATAAGCACTCCTTTTTGAAGAAAGGGGGAAAGGGGTGGAGGAACTTACACAACCAATAAGGGGAACTGGGAGAACAAGATAAGGGAAATAAACTTACAATTCTAAATTTTAGGGGGTACATTTTTTGGGTCATACCATTTTTCCTAACTGCATTACAACACCCCTGGGCTCTCCCAAAGCCGGCCTGTGGCCAGGAGAGCTCGGCCCAGCCCAGCCTGATGGGAGCAGTCCCCGTGGGCAGCTCAGGGTCTCCTGCTGCTGTCCCACGGCAGCTGCTGCCAGGCAAAGTCCTCCTGCAGACAAGGAGGAGCTGCTCCTCACCTGCAGATGGGAAACCCTCCCCTCTGTGCCTCTGAAAACTAAATTGGCTCCTCACACCACGGCAGGTGTGGATGGGCTTGAAGGTCCCCTCCAATCCAAACCATCCCATGAATCTGTGATTAACAGCACTGACTAAAATTTTATTGGATAAAATTTTAAGGCCAAAATAAATCACCTCTCCAAACCACTCTGCCCATCACAGCAAACATGACATTGCACAGGAATAACTTCTCATTTTTCCTTTGCCTTTCACCTTCAATATTTTCATGGAAAGTGTTTAAGACCGTAATTAATTCTGAAAAGCAGACAAATGCAATGAGCATGCATCAGAACCTATAAAAATCAAAAGGGATATTCCCCTCTTGGTAACAGGATTTTTGTAAAAATCCTTATAGTTCTTAAGAGGGATTAGGTTTAAGTAGGAAGGTTTTTAATACTGGAAATCAGATTATTTTTGTGGGTTTTTTATGCTATGATTTTTATTCCCATAATGCATATTGTGTTAAAAATAACAGTTTTTATAATGATCTAGAAAGCTGTTAAAGTCACCAGATTTAGGAAGGCTAGAAATGAAATTAATATATGAAATAATTATGCTTCTCCAGGATGAAACTTTCCCCAGCTAAATGGAAAAACATCAGTTACTGCACATCTATGCCTAACACAGATCTAGTGATTGCAAAGTAAATTTTGCCACATCTTATAATTTAAGTTATTGAAACTCTGGGAGTGTAAACTATTCACAACACTGCATTCAAAAAGGGGTTATTTATATCTTTAGTTTCATGTGCAAGATATGTTCAGAATTAAAAGTTAAACTGAGAGTCAGGAGAATCATAAATAAAATAACAGGTAAGAGGTGCAAAGGTCATTTCAGAAGCATAGTACATCTGTAAATCATCATTAATGAAGCATTTTGTAGATTCATTGGCCAACCCTTGCCTAAATTAAAATAAATATGAATTCTGTAGCCAGTCCTATTTAGTTATTAATAAAATCAAGGATAATCACTGCAGTCCAGCAAACACCTTATCAAAATCTACCTCTTTGTGTTAGCACACTCAGTACCCAGTCACCAAGAAAAAGTATTTCTGCAGCACTTTAGGAACCAAACTTGTACAGGAAAGTCAAAATGGAGATGTGGGAAATGAAAATTGATTTTTCTTCCCCCACTGAGGGTTTGTCATAAAATGTTAACATTCTTTACTAAACCAACTCCAATCAGTTGGCATTTTTAAAAACAGAGCTGGGAATGTTTTTCCTGTGTGAAAAAGCCCAAAGGGATACTTTGAGTTTTTGTCCTGATTTGATATCAGGACAAAGTGTTTCAATAATGGAATTTCCTGTGTGATGAAAACCCTGGGTATCTGTCAGTTCTTTTTAGAAAATCTGAAGAATTCCACAAAATAATACATGGAAGCAAATGTTGGTGAAAAAAATCCAGCTGTGCTGCTTGCACCAACAGGAAGCTCAGCCTGAGGGCTCCAAACTCCCTTTTACTGCAGACTAGACAAAGCAGAACACATTTTTAACGCAGTGTTCAATCTCAGGAGCCAGAATATAATTTTTTGAAGACACTGATTAATGTCATAGAAGACCTTTCCAGTAGACCCTTGGTTTTAATCTGAACTCTGCCTCTTAAATTACCTTTCTTTCCACAGCTTGTCCTTCCAGCACTTCTCGGAAATATTCATTGGTTAATAATTTAATATCTAATTAATTGCAATTTTTTTTATAATTTTCAAGAACTTGTGTGTTTGGAGGAGAACTTCTGAATTGTGAAATAATATCATTGTAATCTTATATTACTAATTCGACAATATTCTAACTGGAAATGGATCATAATACTGAGTAATAAAGACTTTCAACTCATTTAAAATGTCAATTTGCAATTAACTTGAATTTAATCAGAGGAAAAGCTAAAGAATTTCAGAAAGAGACTTGTAAAATTTAGTATCTCTTATCTGTGTTTTCTTAAAAATAAGATATCATAAAATCATAGAACAGTTTGGGTTGAAAGGGGCCTTAAAGATTATCTCATTCCAACCCTCTGCCATGAGGCTTTGCTGTGTCACTTGATTTTACTTAATTTCAACCAGTAAAAGGTTGAATTTAACAGTATTTCCATGCACTGCCTATGAAGCACTATGCTAAATTAAAATATTATTTTGCATTTTTAGCCTAAAAATTCACTCACCAGGCTTGTTTGCTGGAGAAATGCTCCCCAATTTCTCTACAGTGCACAGCTCATTTTACAGACTTTTGTGTACTGGGGGGTGGTTTGAGAAAATATTGCCAAATAAAATAAAGGCAATGGGACTGCAGAATGGCTTCTGTGATTAGGTATGCAAAGGAGGACTGAGAGGAGGAGTAAAGTGCAATGACAGAGTAAAGTGCACCCTTTTGCAATGAAAAGCAAGACCTGATACTAATACTTGTCTTTTTTCTTGGAATAAGGACTTTGTTGATTTATTTTTTGTTAGGCTAGAATAAGGATTTTTCAGTGCTGGCTCATCTTAGATAAATGAAACCTTTTAATAATACTGATGGCAGTTAATGACAGGTGATTTTTTTTATAGGCAGTGTCAAAAGCCTGGGCCATTTGCATTAAAGTCAACCAGCTCCTGTGTCATCTTCCATTTTCTTCAATATTTGACTTTAATTGCAATTATGGACTCCAGACTGATCCTATGCTCACCTGTGAAAACATTTTTCCCCTTCTTTCAGAGATTTTCTGCCTACCATGAAATAAGTGGAAGGAAAACATAGATGTGCTCACTGAAAATTCATGGCCTGGAGAGCAAAAAGGGCCGGTCCATAGCCTGGAAATTTTCAAAGATATTCAGTGGGGTTGTATTGAACCATCTGTGGCATGACACCTTCGGGAGCTGCACCCTGAAGAGGAGGAGACATGGATTGTCATCAGCACGTGGAGACGTGAGTATGGACTATCCAAGGCGTGAATACAGCTGCTTTTCAGGTGACTGATCACAGCCTGTTCTTCCCATGTCCAAATCAGGTCCATATGTGCATCCAGTTGTTCTGATCCCTGCTGTGTTTTTAACCCCATTCTTACTTACCCCTGATATTCTTGCTGGTTTGTCCATTGACTGTGCTCAAGCACTTCCATTTATGCTTTCCACAACATTCTGGAGCATGGAAGGTTCTACTAAGTTCAGCTTTCCCTTATAACCCTCAGGAAAATCCCTACTCTACCCATCATTTAGGTGAGAGAGGTGGTGAATAAAATGGAAAAATTTCAAATAGCCAAGTTAGAAATAGTCTGATGGTGATCTGAGCAGGATATTAGTGTAGGGAAAATATGATATAATATCTCACTTTAGGTAAGCTTGCAGTGGAAGATGAAGTGACTTGAGTGTTTGTGACTACTGTGAATTGCTCTTAAATTCTCCTCTTAGCATTTGGCAGAATGGACTGGAAGATTAAAATCAGGTAGTAAGAGATATTTTGCTGGTCTTGCTCCAGACAATATTGACATTTTACAAGGAGAATTGAGATAGGAAGTCAAAATGTTCAATGCAAAACCATAAAAAGCTTTTGACACCTCTGCAGTTCATAATATATTGAACTAGAAGCATTACTATGACATAAGGAGTTTTACATGAGTGGGGCTTGGGGTTTCTCAAAGATTATGCTTTACTTTGTGACTGGTCAAATTCCTTCCGGAAATTAGATTAATTGAAAGTGGCATCTAAAATAGTTTAGCCCCATTTTTAATGTTTTCAAAACAGCCCTGAAATAACAGCTTATCATATACACCTCTTTCCTGTGCATGAAGTCATCTTATTTGCAGAAGCCAGGTTAGATTTTAATAAATGCTTTCTCCTGTTAATAAATAACACATGTTCTTTTATGCATGTGCTTAGTATGCGAAAGGAGTTTTCACCTCCTTTTTGATACAAAGTCAGAAGTGTCTGGTAGAAAATTTAAGTCTGTAAATTCAGATTTTTTTCAGGAACATGTGAGAACTCTTTGGATTGTTGAAATATTATAAGTTTGATATCTAGCAATTATTTAAGATTTGTACTTCTAGCCACTATGTAGACATTCATTTTTTTTTACAAATTATTAATATATTAAAATTAATGAATTTATTAAATGGCAATAGTCTGTGTTAAAGTTTATCATTACCATTGCAAAGGGAACTACTCAAAGGACAGGAAAACACCAGCAGCAGGGACACCTGCTTGGATGGCTGCATTAAGGTACAGCTGGAGATACTGGAATCACCACAAAATCCAAGGAAATCATTAGCTTGACACCAGGATTTGGTTTATACCCATTGTCCTCACTTTTTGTGAGAGGTGCCAGCCAGTAATGGAAAGCAGACCACACCAATCTGGTTCAGCATGTTAAAATTTGCAAACTTCTTTTCTTCTTTCTGGAAAGTTTGTGGTTTCACAGAACTTTTAGGATATTGAATTCCTCTTTACTGTGTTTTCATTTCGTGAGGGTGCCTGACCTAAAAAAAAATAAAAATTAAATTAAAATGTGCTTTGAGGTCAGCAGGAAGTGTGAAAGGCTATTAACCTTAATATCAAATGAATTATTTGTTTCTAGAATCTGAGCATTCCTCTGGTTTTCACCTCAAACATTTTAATTTGCATCCCATGAGGACTGGAGTGGCCCATAATTTAAATTAATGCAATTATTCTTGATAGGTTAACTTAAGTATTGAACAAGTATTTACTATCCTATTCCTCCTAGCTAGCAAAATCTGATTATTAACAGCTGCTGCATTTTAAGGTGTGACCTCAGTAACTTCCAGAGTTTTTCCAATAAAAGTTTAGCTGAAAGAGAAAGTCTACAATTGATAAGCATTGAATTTTATTTCCATAAACGTTACTGAAGAAAAATTTGTACTTTCTTTTGGAAGGCTCAGTCCTCAGGTGCAATGACCCTGTTCCCTTGAATTCAGAATCTTGATGTTCAGGGTGGAAAACTGCCAGAAATCTCAGTGGTTTGAGAAGAGAGTCCCAGGTTTTCAGTACTTCATCTTTGTGTCTCTTTGAAGTTATATCTTTGGTTTTGTTTTCTGTTTTTAAATAGATTTCACTAATAACAGAAATTATTTTTGAGAATGATAAGCTAAAAGTTAAAGAGGAATATAGAAAACCCAGTCCTTCTAAGTGAGAAAATGTGTTTTTTGAAAAATATGCGCTTGAATTATTCTTTACATTGAATTAGTTAAATATGATCCCAATCTTCTGTGTCACACAGCTCCTTTCTGCTGACATATGCAATAAAAGAGCAGTGAATGCTATAAGCCCAACATTTATGTCAAAAAACCTTTGGATAATCTTCCAAAAAAGCAGGTGTTCACCAAACCTGATGTAATAGTGCATGAAAGCAAAGGTTTGCATCAGCTCAACTCAGCAGTGCAAGGAATTCCTGCTTAAACCTTCAGGAATGAAAAATTATGTTCTCTCTTTTATTAGGACAAGACTTGTAGGCCTCAAACCTCACTGTAATGGATGGGAGGACCTACCACAGTATGAAATACATTTTAATTGCAAACATATTTTTTCCCACTATTCCCTGCTTCATGTGCATGTATAAAATGTGAAAACCATAAGAACAAAAAAGTAAGGATTTTCCACCTGGTAATATTAATGTTTTCTTCCCCCTTTTTATGGCCTGTAATTTTTCAAATGATGTTTATTGATCTGTCCAAGAACTGTACCTACTGATGAAACCTTTGCAGTTTAAATGTTGACTAACTTTCCTGTTAGAAGCACAGACTTCTGGAATAAGTCAGCTCCCTTCTGGGTCAACCAGTATTTAAAAATATGACTTTGTGTGTGCTGCTTGAAGACATAAAATCTCTTGAATATCATAACCAAGGCATGTATCTCATGATAAAGAATTCTTTGTGGCTAACATAACCAGGGAGATGCTCTGGCATTTGGGAATTTTGTAGTCCCGATGGAAGAGCACTGCTCATTACTGCTGCTCTCTGTGGGTCAGGGCCTCAACTAGATTCTCCTACATCCCAAACCAGCGACCTTCAGGCTATAGTGTGTGAGCACACTTTCCCTCTCAGTTCTCCCAACAAAAACCTTTGTGGAAGCAGTTATGTCTCTGAAAATTGTTGTTTTGGCTTAGATGAAGCAGCGTATTTCAATGAAATTTCATTTAGCTGAGAATGTTCCGACCCGCTCTAATTACAGACCTGTGTTTTAAGCTGGTTATGGCTTTGCCAAGCATTAATGGGTTGGGCTGAAACTTTCCATGATTGTTCTCTGCCTTAGGCTGACTCATTTGAAGGCAAAGGTTTAACCATTTTGTAAGCCAGAAAAACTGGGGCTGTCCCACCAATGGACAAGGATCACTCTCATACCTCTGGGGTTTGGAGGAGGACCTTCAAATTTGACAGGGAGAAGACCTGATGCACTGAAATATCTTCAGCAGTTCTCAAGGAAATTATTTTGAGTTTAGCTTTTGACAGTGTGCATCTGTAAGGCAGCAGAATTTGTAGAACACCTAGCTGATAATTTTGTTCAGTTGCCTCAGCACTGGTCAAACTCAGCCTCCACAGATTTACCTCATGGCCTGGAGTGAAAAGGATGATGCTTTGCCCCCTTGTCCTGGGAGGTGAGGGAAATGAGGACTTCCATCACTCCCATTTTCCAAATGGTACAGGAAGAAATTTCTCACAAAAATTCTGAAAATAGAAATCCAGTTGAAATTGAGCTGTCATGGCTCATGGATGAGGAATTCTCCAGAGAGCCATTGTTTTATCAGTAGAGCACTGTCTCAGAGAAAGGGGCTTTTTCTTCCTTCTCTAGTTTCTGCTGTGACCACAACTCAGTGTCCTGTGGTAGACTGAGTCATCCCAGACTGTACTATAAATATCAATAAAGTAAGATTGCAGCACACTTTGTGCAACAAGATTTTAATCTTCTGCCCTCTTCACCCCTTCCCTTAAGATTATGAAAGAGTTTTAATGAGGAAATGTTTGACATTTGAAATTACCCAGCCTAAGACAAGAAGAAAAAAGTAACTGATGTGTCTTCCATATTTATTATAACAAGTGACTTTTGTTCACAAGCACAGGATCAGGAAGCTGCATTTAGTAAAATGTTTAACTAACATTTTTAACATTACCATGAACGATGTAATTCATTCACAGAAAGTGAAAGAACATTCAGATCTCCCTGGGGCACTGCTTTACCAAAATAAAGGGTAATCTACTACTTCTGTAAGTTATAATTTGGTGTGTCCTCCTCCAGTTAGGACTTTCAGGAATCCACTTATCAATTGCAGCATTTCACCTGCAGCTCTGAAATCCTGACAAATGAGCCCCCAGTTCCTCATTTCCCAGAACCCAAATAAAATCTTTCTGAGGTAATGACTCATAAAATGCCTTACATCACTCTCAGCAATGAACTATTTTTTTTTTCACTTGCTGTGGCCATTCATTTCAGCTTCACAAAACATCTTTTTTTGCACTTTGCACAGGGCTGCCTCATCCAGTTATGTCAGGGAGCTCCAGGCAGGAAAAATCCCTGCTGGCAGGAGGCCACAGTGCTGGGGAGGGCTGCTTGTGGCTCTGTCTGCACCAGAATTTTGCCAGACTGGCCTTTAACGTGAGGGGCACCAGAAAAGGCTGGCTGGGTGATGGAGACTGAAGCTGATCTGCTGCAGCCTCATTCTTGGGTGGATGAAGGACTAGCTTAGGGTCAGGCAGGCAATCAAATTTATTTAATTGGGTCATGGAGTCATAGAATCATACAATGGTCTGGATTGAGAGGGACTTTAAAGATTATTTAGTTTCATCCCCTGCCACAGGCAGGGACACCTCACACTATCCCAGGTTGCTCCAAGCCCTGTCCAGCCTGGCCTTGGACACTTCCAGGGTTCCAGGGGCAGCCACAGCTGCTCTGGGCACCCTGTGCCAGGGCCTCACTACCCTGAAATGAGAGCAAAACTGTTATTTTCCATACATATTTCCTCACTGCACATCTAGCATCTCTGGCATTGTCTTTTTATGTGCAAAAATTTTGATTTTTATTTATTTATTTATTTATTTATTTTGTTCTCCAGTGGGAAAATTGAAAAACAGATGAATATTTTGGATTGGGTCCTTGGACTGGAAGTGGTTGTCTGACATCAATCTGCATCACCTGCTGTATTGTATGATGGTAGCTAAGAATAAAAATCTCTACTATTTCCGCCTGAGGAGTGGGCAAAATAGTATTGACTATTCCATCTATTCCATCCGCTGCTATTTTTTTTCCCTGTGTGTTTTGACACCTTTTCATGCCAGCTTTTCTCCTCTGGACTCTGGAAGCTGCTAGCTATCAGGATTTCAACAACTGCCCTCTGTCTAGGCTCTCACTCTGCTTATCTTGCCCAGCTCTGGTTCATGTATGTTCTCACACCTTAGCACAATTTTCACAGTGAAGCTATGCCAAGATCACACATCTGTGTTGAACCAAGCAGCACATTGGACTGCAGGCTACTAAAAGTCTGGGTATAATTCACCCCAAGTACAGTTCCCATGAGAGGTGTGGAAGGGGTTTCTGTGTTAAAATTGTCAAAAAAGTTTCAGGCACAAAAGAAATATTTATCCATCTGCTCTGGTTTGGAATGAAAAGCTGACTGCCCCATGCAAGAATGAGAGTTTAGATTTTTCATTTACCTCTTTTTTAAATCACTATGAAATATTTGTGACTTGTTGTCTTTTAAGAATTTATAGATCATGCACTCAGTGCACAAAAAGTGCATATTTATTTCTCTATCCCACAACTGAAACATGTTTTCAAGTTATGATTTATCTCCTTAGAAAGGTGCCCCTGCATCACTAAACCTGAGTGAGGTGGGGAAGGTGTTGACACAGGATGTGGAAAAGGCTGAGGTACTGAATTCCTTCTTCACACCAATTTTTAGTATTATTATTCCAATTTTTAGATTGGAATTCATCAATCCCAGGCCCTAAAGAGCAGGGGATAATTTGAAGGAAGGAAAATTTACCTTTGGTGGAAGACAACCAGGTCAGGGAATACCTAAGGAAGCTGGATAAATGTAAATCCATGGGCCCTGACAGGATGTACCCACTGGAGACCTCACTGATGTCATCATGAGATTGCCCTTGGCAATCCTTGAATGATTGTGGTGACTGGAGCAGAGCCAGCATCACTCCTGCCTTCACTGTGGGCAAGGAGCACCCAGGGAACAACAGGCTCAGCATCACCTCAGTTCCTGGAAGGGTGATGGAATAATTCATCCTGGAAACCATTTACAGGAAGGACAGGAAAGCCATAACTGGTCAGCATGAATTCACCACGGGGATGTCATGCTTGACAAACCTGATAATCTTCCGTAATGAAATGCCTGGCTTGCTGGTTTCTCCTCCCTTCTGCCCTCTGCTTCCATTTCCTTCCATGCACAGATATTTTTCATGCTCACTGTATCCCCTGAATCACTTTTTCTCCTACTCTGTCTCCCAATTAGCTCCATTCCTCCAGAGCCAAGTAACTACTTTGTACCATATTCTTCATTTTTCCCCACAGCACTGGAATATGCAATGCAAACTATTCCTTGGCTCTTGTTTAACAAATGGAGACTTCTTATTCATTCCAATTTGTTCCTACTAATCATTCCTTTTAACAGTCTTTTGACAATAAACCCAGCAAAAAATAGTAAGATCTGCTTTAATGTTTGTACTCCACACAGTATCAACCTATTCTGTGGCCACTGCAAGGCTGACGGAGCTGTGGGGCTCAGCCTGGAGAAGAGGAGGCTCAGGTGGGACCTTCTCCCTCTCCACAGCTCTCTGACAGGAAGGTGCAGGCAGGGAAGGATCATACCATTTCAAAAAGATTCAGTTCCATATTGAGCCTGTGGAAAAAACATTGCTTTATTTTTATTTTTTTTTATGGTCAAAATACTTGAGAGAATTTCTATTTACATTAAACACAGAGAAAAGTGGGATGGAGAAAAGGGTGAGGAATGAGCTTGTGCTGCTCCACTGCAGTAGTGATTGTCAAAATTATGTAATCCTTTACAGGGTGGAAACTCCCTTCTTTTTTACAGGACAGCTCCTTCTGAAAATCTGGTGCTAACTTTAGTGATGGATACTTATTTCCAAGTCCTTGCTGGCCTAAAGTGGAATCATAATATTGCATAACTTCTACTTCTGTGGTTCAGCAGAACCAAAGATAACCCCATTATTTCCTTTATTAAAAGTGAAGTTATTAACAGGAACAAGAAAATCTTTTAAGATACAGAATTATCTTTTAAGAACAGCATTAATCCATCAGGTTTCTACAAATGTAACCTTCCCAAATTAAAGTGGTTAAACAGAGTGGATTGGTGAGGGTGATGTGATGTAACTTCATACAAATCCTTAGGTCAGTGTTGGTTTACAATGGACAAATATCTGATCCCTATTTTTTTTTGTTGATTCTCTTATTTTTCCATGCTTATTTGCTTTCTCTTCTTGTGATTCCTCATAAGCTGGTTAATCCAGTCCAAATTCTTTGGTGACAGAACATGGACTGTGAGCTCATTGTGAAGAAAACATATATATCCTCCTTGCTGCACTCTAAAACTTTGCAGTTCTCAGATATGTCATGGAAAACCCTGATTTAAGTTGGGATGTAAGAACTTTGCATAGCTCATGATGGCTTTTTGAGCAAGGGTTAATATTTTGCCTTTGTAGGACTGGGAAAGGATTGATCTGGAGCTGATAGAGTGACAAGAGCCTTGGCTGAAATGTGAAGCTGTATTTTCAGCTGAGCCTCTTCGTAAGGCAGCTCTTTGCCCCCTGCTATTATCTCATATTGTACCAACACCACAAGTTACTGTGCAGTAGCAATTGTGGCTTCCAGAGCATCCATCATGGATTTACCACACACTTAGCACAAAACTGCACGTTGGATTTTGTGGTGATCCAGTGAGTAAATCACCCAGCCAGGCTGTGCGGAAAATGAGCGCTGTGTCCCAGAAGAAGAGAACGCCTTTTTATGGAAAAGAGACAGTCTGGGGAGTTCCACACTCCTCCAGGATGGTTCTTTTCTCTTTTTGCATCCTTCTCCACTTTACCTACCCAAGAACTTCCTGGAGGTGAGGTCTGTCATCCATACTTCTCACCCAGGCCCTTTCATACAGGCCACTGAGCCAGTTTGCTGTCAGTGTAAAACATATCTGAATTTTAATGTTTCTCTCTAAATCTAACATGAAACAGCTGTTCTAATGAAAATATACTTATCTGGCTTCACCTAGAAAATTCAAGTATTTTTTAATTTTAAAGCACAGCAGTAGAGATGTTCTCTAAAACGCTAGGGAGAAAGATCCAAACTCTCCTGGGCAAAAAGCTGAGTTTATCTGGTTGGATATGTTTGGTCTAAGGTGAAGTTCTAGCTCATCTCTGAGGATTCTCAGGGGATTTCATGGGAACAGCTGGGGATTGATGTAGGGTCTTTCCATGCAGCTCTTTGAGGGGACTCCAGCAGCTACCTGAGGTCATGGTGGTTAAATTCATACCTATAAACATTTACAAACACCACACTGGCACCACGATGTGGGGATTATCAACTGCCATCTCATCTTCTAGCCATTATGACAAATAACAACAAAATTATTTGAGTTATCATCACTGTATCTCATTTTTGCAAATATATTGCTCCAAATTCTGGCTACAGATAGTGCAGCCAAAGGGATTTTGTGTCTGTTTTGGAAAGAGGGTTTAGATCAACTATGTAAAAGTAAACTGATAGCTTCAATTATTAAATGCAAGTACTTGGCCAGGCTTTAGTGAAGGAGGCCATTAAAGTTTCTGAGATATTTTTTATTTTGGTTACCAAATCCTGTTTCCAAGAGCCAGTGTCTGAATTCTGTTAAAGCAGGACTTTCCATCATTTTCCATTAAAGAAAAAAAGTCTGGATTGGGAAGTATTACCACTGCATCAGGCTTCTGCCAAAGCCTCTGCTTGGACTGCACAGCTGCCTTTAAGATGTTTGAAAAGTCAGTCCTTCCCTGGTATATCTGAAATCGCTCCCTTTTCAAATAAGGCTCATTTTCCTTTTGGAAAGGTGGCAGGAGAACTGTTAAATATGAAAGGCTAGGCTGTAGGATCAGCTATAATAAATTATTTGAATGCCTTTAATGGGGTTTCAGTGGGATTTAAGGTTTTGAAGTACAATACCAAAATGCCACTTCCTCCACTCCAAGATCACTGTTTTGAGCCCTGCCCTCTTTCTTTGGCATCAAGGTGGCTCTTCCCTCCCCACAGGTGTGGGCCATGGGACAAGGAGGGGAAGAGGATGTGAGGGGGGACAGGGTTGTCAAGTATCTGTCCTTTATTGTAGCACCAGTCTCCCAACCTTAGGATGCCCCTTGGGAGATCCAATTGATGTCAGCACCAAAAATATGAAATTTAAACCACATCCCCACCATATTAAGAGACAGCAAAGGTGGTTAGAACTACCTTTGAAACCTCACTGGGAAATTAAACCTGGAGGATTGCCTGAGAGAAAGCTGTGGGATGAAACAAAGGGATAATGTTGGATAAGGGCAGCAAAAGAAGCCACTCAGCTCTGCTCAAGTTTTTCTATTATATTTTGTAAAGAGACTTTAGACAAATGACTTTTTTCTGAACACATGGTGGCAAGTACAACCTTATCAGAGATATCAGAGGAGCCTGACAGATCTGATTGCAAACTGAATTATGTTTTTCTTTTTTATTTTTCAGAGTCACTTAGTTTGCCCAGCTAAACACAAAACAAATTTTATACCTGGTGGATTTCTTTCAGCTAACATTTTGTTGACAAGTCAGAGATCCAGGTTGATTACTCTGTTAAATATTGAAATATAGTGCTGATGGAATATGAGAAAATAGGTTATGCATCTAAAACACCTCAGGCAATATAAAAAGAATATTATTAAAATTACACATTTATAATTTTGCCTCTCCTCATTCACCCTTCCTATCTTGAGTTTTTCCTGGATTGTGTTCTGTTCTTTTTTCATTTGTTGTACAGCAGAAAAGACACTGATGGTGTCTGTACCCTCACAGAGCCAAACCCTCTTCTGCAGGTGAGGCCTCCAACACAGACTAATGATGTCTTTTCTTAAATTACATATTTGCAATGTATGTAATCTTCTCTTTATTTCCTGCATTTATCTTTCCTAATGCTTCCCTTTTGAAACCAAGATGATCACTTTCACAATGCTCTTA